GTAGCTAGTTATATTGTCCTAACCCTTTGTTTAGTTAGTGCCCAAACTCTAATTTTAATTTTGCTATTTATTTCTTTCTATACTTGACTTTCACTAAAAAAACTTAATAAGCCCAACACGGAAAACTTTCTGACTTGACAAGACCCCTATGTCCGCAAAATAGTAATTTTTTCCACTTTAATTATTTTTATCTTGCCTTTCTTTCATGACCGCGTGGAAACCGCCAAAGAACAAGTTAGTCATAACACCGAGGATAGCATTTCTAAACTTAAAGGATTAATTGTTAATTTAATTAATTCCATACCCTTTACCAAAGTTATCTTTGAATCGCTGGCGGAATTAACTAGTTTTATTCACTGAATAATTTTAGTGTGGTATGTTCGTTTAGTTATTTTCGCTCGGATTAGTGAATATAACGATTTTTGATTCCGGGTTAATGATATTAATAAACGGGCTACTGATTTCAAGCAATTTTATCATTACCAAAAATTATTAGGGGAAGCCAGCGTGACCAGCAGTAAACCGGACTTGCCTACCCAAACTAAGAAATTAATTATTTTAGGCGATTATGGATTTTTACAAATTACTCCGGCTTTCCTTAAAAATGAATATTTAGAAAGAGAATTAAAGGATACCGAAAAAGGAAATGTTTTAAGAGAATTTAGCGAAAAAATCAAAAAAATTGTGGAGTTTATTAACTTCTTACCCCTTCATTTAAATCCGACCGGGCAAGACGAAAATAAAAAAAAAAAAGTTAACTTTTTGATTTACTGTTTATTTAATGAATTTAAAAGTTTTAAGGAAATTGAACAAACTAGAAGATTAATCTTAAAATTAACCTCTCCCCAGCCCAAAAATTCCTTATGTCTACCTTATTGGGGAATAAAGAAAAAAAACGCCAAATAATCCTAGAAAATTTTAACCAGCCGCTGAAAGAAGTCTCCTTAACCGAATTAAAAAAAATTAGCCAGGATTTAAAGATTCCTTTTTACACTTTTACGAGTTTAAATGCGGGGTGTGGGGATACTATTTATTTGTTAGTTAAAAAAAAAAATAAGTTAGTTGAACTAGCCAATTTTGCCAGCCAACAACAAGCCTGTTGCTTGACTGTGGCGGCGACTAATATTTTGTGTTGTTGAATGGAAAATAAAAGTATTGAATTAGTAAAAACTGAAATTAAGCAAATGGAAAAAATGGTGAACGGACAAGTTTATCAATTAAATAATTGTTGCTCAATGGAAGTTTTTCAAGATTTATCTAATTCTCCCCACCGGATAGAATGCGTTAATTTAGTTTTACGCGGCATAAAGGAAATATTAAATGAATAACTACGAAACCAAAAAATTCTCTATCCTTACCCAAATAATTTCGCAACGCAAGGCTATTCGGGAATATAAAGGGCAAAAAATCCCCCTAACTTTAGTCAAAAAGGTAATTAAAATTGCTTGCCGAGCCCCTTCCTGGTATGGTTTAGAACCCTGATTTATTTTGGTAATTGGCAAACCCGAAATCAAGCAAGATTTATATCCTTTTTTTAATCAGCAAAAACAAGTTAAGGAATGTTCTCACCTTTTTTTAATTTTAAGTTATCGCGGAGAAATTTTTAATTGAAATACTGACTTATTTAAGCAAAAAGTATTCGCAAAGTTTAATCGGCTAAGCGAAAATTCTTATCCTAGTTTTTGCCAAAAATCCTTAACTATATTTAATCCGACCCAACCCGCCAAAATTAGCCTTTGAGCCCAGCAACAATGTTTTATTGTGTTACAAAATTTTTTATTACTTTGAACTAGTTTAAATATTGCGACTTCTCCGATGGGCGGATTTCAAGCCGAGCGAGTGATTGCCTACTTAGAAAAGCATAAGTTAATCCCCCCTGGCTATTATAATTTAGCGGTAAGTTTTGTCGCCGGCTATCCGTTAAATAAGGAATTATGAAAAAAGCAAGTGCAAAAAAAAGATTGAAAAAAAGTATTTAAAGTAGGATAAATATGCTTTTAAGTGTAATCGTGACGGCGGAAATTATGTCAATAAAGCGATAAAAAAATTCCCCCGACCGGCAAAGATAAAACTAGGGGAATTCAAGGAGCTTTTAAAAGGGGAAGTTGAGAATGTAAAACTAAAATAGCATAGGTAAAGAGGAGAATCCCATAAAACAAGAAAAGCAAAAATTTTTTTCCTCTCTGGCGGGTAGGAAATCAGAAATAAAAAAGCGGAGTATAAAAGAGTAAAAAAATAACTCCGGCTAAACAAAAACTATCCAAGAGCAAAAAAATTAATCCGTTAGTTCAAGTGGAAGCCGAAGCCAATAAAATAGGTAAATTTACAGCCAAATTAGTAATTCAAAAATAAGTAAAGACACTAGCCAGTTTGGCGAGTAGTATATTTTGGCGGTTAATGGGCGAAGCAGTAGTTAAAATGGCTCCGTCTTCTTTTTTAAGAATGGTTTCTCATACCAAATTGGAGATAAGGGCACTACCTAAATAAAATAAAAGCAGTGATTTAGCTAAGCAAATTTTCCAAGTCTCATTACAAATATTTCCTTCCCCGAGGCGAAAATCCCGAATAAAGGATAGGGAACCGGTTAAGGCAAGCAATAATATAAGTGCTAAGTAAATTAATCAAGTTCAGTAAATTTTGCCTAAATAATAACGATAAAGTTTACAAAAAAGTTTTTTATGAAATTTAAACATCGGTAAATGTAAGTTAATTAACTAAATGGCGAAAACACTTAATTAAAATCGCGTTTGGTGAAATTATTTCAGTAAAGGTAAAAAAATAAACTTCCGACTCCGATACAGAGCGGAATTATAAAAAGTGGTTTATTAAGCATTAATTCTTTACCCTTATCCAAGAAGCGGTATAGTCCTCCTCCCGGTTTCGCCAATTGCATAGCTATTTTGCAAGCGTAAGGAATAATAAATAAAACCAGGGAAAAAAGTATGGCCGAAAGTCCGCTCAATACCATATTCATAAAAAATAAAATTGAATAAACCAGTAAAGTTAGTAACAGCGGAAAAACTAATCCAGCCAAAGCCAAAAAGGAGAAAGCAAAGGAGGCGGTGAAAATTCCTTGACTGCCCCCCGCTCAACAATAGTAAAAAAAACATGGTAATACTGCTCCTATAAGGTTAGTAAGCACGAAAAAACTAAAAAAAGCAGTTAATTTGGCAATAACTACATCATTTCTTTGAATGGGCGAAGCGGTAGTTAAAACCGTTTTGTCTTCCCCATCTTCTTTGGGTTTGCCGACTAAATTATTAATCGCCGGATTGATTAAGAAAAACATTCCTACGATACCTACTCATCATACGCTTAAAAACATTTGTCAAATGGTGCTAAAAATCGGATAGTCCACGGAATTATGCCGGCCGGAAAAGAATTCCAGTATGTCTTTTAAAACTTGGCCGATGGCTTCTTTATAAGTTACCACTATCTCCATACCTCCTAATCCGCTGTGTCGCTGGTTATTTCCCAGTACAAAATACAGAATAAGCGGAGCAATAATAAAGACAAATCAAAAAAGAGCCAAAGTAGTTCAAAATCATCAACCTTTAAACAATTTTTTCAAATAAAATTTGTATAATCTTAATATTTGGTTCATAAATTAATGGTATTTTTAAGCAAATAAATCATCGCTTTCCTTTCCTTGCACAAAATATTGCTCGTAGGTTTTTTGAATATCCGCAGTTTTGTCTCCGCTATAAACAATTTGACTGCCGCCCTGAGTGGGTTTAATCATAGTAATTTCATCGGCTAATTCTTGTAAATCGGATAAAATATGGGTAGACATTAAAATCGTACCCCCTTGGTCTCTAACTTCCTTAATTTTGCGAATAAGCAAAGTTCTTTTAGTGGGGTCTAAGCCATTAAAAGGTTCATCTAATAGTAAAATTTCCGGGTGATATAAATTAATCGCAAACAATTGGAGTAATTTTTTTTGCCCGGTGGAAAGAGTAATACATTTTTGACTGCTTAATCGGTTCAGCGAAGAAGTCGCTAATTTTTGGCGGTATTGGGTTACGGAAATGTCGCGGAGTAGCCCCACAAATTCCACAAATTGTTTTACTTTCATATTCCGCGGAAAAAGTGGTTCGGCGGGAACATAGCCCACATTAGCACTAAAATGAGGGTCAGCAATTACTTTTTTGCCTTCAATCAATAATTCACCACTACTGGCAATAACTAAACCTAAAAGAGCATTAAGAGTAGTGCTTTTGCCGGAACCGTTAGGACCAATAAAGCCATGGATACTTCCTTTTTTTACTTGAAAAGAAACATTGTTAACCACGGTTTTATTATTAAATCTTTTGGTAAAGTTTTTTACTTGAATAGCGTAATTCATTTTACAAATTTTCTTATTAACTTAATTTTTAGTCATTAGGAAAATTTTTTTGTTTAATTAGGAGGCTTAAATAAAAATTCAATATACTTTATAAATGTCTGCCCGTTACTTTCTGGACCACCAAAAAATTTCCTTACTTTATAAATATTATCTGCTCGGTGATTTGAATTGGTTAGAACCAATTAAAAGTTCAGTCGCCACCGACAAGCAAAAAACCGCTATTAGTTGATTTTTGAATTGTTTAGGGAAAGAAAGTTATCTAATCACCCAAATTGAAAGCAAACTAAAAACCGGCTGACTTTTTGCTAATTTACCTCCTTTGGAAAGAGCGGTTTTAATTTATGCCAGCCACGAAATATTTTTTAATCGGCAAGTTTTTGTCCCGGCTTTAATTGACCAAACTATTGATTTTAGTAAAAGGTATTTAGAAACGGACAAATATAAATATATTAATAAGGTGCTAGATTTATTGTTTAAGTCCGAAAAAGATACAAATTAAAATAATTATTTATTTTTCAATAATAAAATTTAAAGATTTAACACAAAGCAAAAATTACTCTTAAACTGCTATCTCCGTTGCGGAGACCTAATTTGACAATGCGGCTATATCCACCCGGGCGGTCTTGGTATTTTTTTCCTAATTCTTTAAATAACTTGTCCAAAACTTTGGTTTTTTCGGGTCTGTTTTTTTGCTTGACTTCCATTTTTTTTTTGTTTACCAAATAGCGCAAAGCCAAGCGGTATAGGTGCTGTTTTAATTCTTTATTTTCTTTTTCTTTTTCCGCTTTTTTGGCCCAAGTAATCAATTTGGCTAATAGTTTGGTTAAAGACCGAGCGGTCGGCAAACTAGTTTCCACTTTTTCGTATAAAATGGCGTCCACCACTAAGTTATTAAGCACGTGTTTTCTCCACGCGGAGTTTTTTCCTGGTTTAAGTATAAATGACATAAATTCCTATATTAGTTTATTTTTAACCATTTAAGCAAAAATAATTCCAATCTCAGTTAGCAAATACTCCTCTCCGACCACTAAAAATTTTTTAATATCTTTAACTATGGCTTTAACTAAAACAATAAAAAAAGCGGATTTTTCTTTATATTCCTCTCCTCTACCCTGGCTCTTTCAGAAAATTAAATTTCCTTTTTCAATTTTGCTTTTTTTAACTTTTTTGGGAGGTTATTTTAGTGCTTTAATTCGCTTTAACCTGCGGACTAATTTTAACCACAATAATCCGGGGCATGGCGAATTTAATTGGTTTTTTGGAAAACATGACTTTTTTATTTTAAAAAACCCGCAATGATACCTAGAACTATTGTCCTTGCTTTTAATTTTTTTTTTAGCCGCTTTGGTGCTGGATATTATTGGTCGTTTTCTCCAAGACTATTGTGAAAATTTAAGTAAAAATTGGCTAAGAAAATTAATAATCTATCGCTGTTTATCTGCGGCTCCCGAAATATTAGAAAAACAACAAACGGAAATCAATAACATTATTTTTTACAATATTCCCAGTTTATCGTTTTATTTTATTAATATTCCGCTCAATTTCTTTGCCAGTTTAGTCAAAATTAGTTTTGAAATTTATTTTTTAACTTTCTTTTTGCGTGGTAAAATCCAAGGCGGATTAAAGTTCTTAACTTTGGGGTTTAATTTAATAGTCATTGGGGCTTTCTTGGGCTATGTTTTGCTTACCACCGGGTGGCAAAAACAAAAAAAATGAGAAAAAGTCCAACAATCCCAAGTGGAAAGACAGCAAACTCAATTAGTTTTATCCAGTATAATTTGCCAGAATAATCAGAGCCAAGAAAACCAAAAAAGAGTAGTTAATACTTTTCAACTTTTTGACCGTAATTTAAAAAAAAATAAGACTTATTTTTTCCAAAAAATCATGTTTGATTTGCCCACTTTAATTATTCCCGGTTTAAATGTAATTTTTTATTTTCTTTATTATCGCTATTCAGCTCCCAATTTTGCCGATGCTTCTATTGTTTATTTTCTCTCTTTAAGTATTCAAAATATTTTTTGAAAATTTCGGGGACTGCTTAAACAAGTTGGCCATTATAACCGAGTTCAAGCCTATTATAAAGAATTTAATTCCTTACTTCGGAGTTTAAATTAAATTCTTGGTTCCGGCGGCTAATTTTTAGTTTATTTATGAGCCTGATTTTAAAAAATAATTAAAATGTATATACCGTGAAATTGATTAGAAAAACACCTCATTTTTCCCCAAAATTCTTGTCCCCTAACCATAGCTAAAAATTTAACTGCCGGGGGGTTAGAGACCGAAATAGTCGGTGAAAATTGGCAGTTTACGCCTTTGCCTAATCGTTTAGACCTGTTTTCGTGGTGGGGCATTGCCCAGGAAATAAGTATTCTATTGAATTATCCTTTGAATTTACCCCTCCTAAATCCTCCGAATTATCCAACTAACCAAGCAATAAGTTGAGCCCAAGTTAAAGTGAATATTAATGAATGTTCCCAAATCCAATTAGTGCTAATACAAAATATCAAGGTGCAGGATTCACCAAGTTGAATAAAAAAATATTTAACTAGTAATAATATTAAGGCAATTAATAATATTGTGGACCTTGCTAACTTGGTAATGCTGGAAACTGGTCAACCTTTACACATTTATGATTACGACCAATTACCTAGCCGAGAAATTGTGGTCAGAAAAGTCTTAAAAGGAGAAAATATGACTAATTTAAAGGGGCAAACCATGAAATTAAGTGATGGAGACCTAGTGCTTTCGGCCGGAGAAGAAATAATTAATTTAGCCGGGATTATTGGCAGCAAAACCACGGCAGTAAGCAGCAAAACCACTAATATTTTAATTGAAAGTGCTTTTTTTGCCCCGGCTTTTATAAAAAAAACCCGCCAGCGCTTAAATTTTTCCACCCCCGCCAGTCAATATTTTAGTAAAAGTTACAATTTGCCGTGGGGTAATTATGCCTTGCCAAGGGTTGTTGAATTAATTAAAGAATTTTGCCCCCCGGCCGGGGAAAGCAAAATACTCGGCTGGGCAAAAGAACCAACACCGGAAAAAAAAACCATTTTGCTTAGTCATGAATTTATAGAAAAAAAATTAGGAGTTAAATTAAGTTCAGAAAAAGTTGAAGAAGTTTTGCAAAAAATGCGGTTTTCTTTTGAAAAAAGATAATATAAAGCAAAAAAAATTAAAGGTGAATTAAAAATGTTAAATAAATAAAAATTCTTCTAAATGAATTCCGCAGAAGAATTAGAAAAGGATAAATTAAATTCTTTCCCAATAATCAATTTTCCGCCAAAGGTTAATTCACAAACTATTATTCAGCAGTTTTCTCATTTGAACAAGGAGGAATTATCCCAAAAAAACATCTCCATAACGATAGCGGGGCGAATAATAAATAGAATAAGAAGTTTTGGCAAGTTAGTTTTCACTGATTTAGCCGACCAAAGCGGGACTATCCAATTAAAAGTGTTTCAAAATGAAAGTTTTACCGAAGTAGGGGTAGGGGACATTATTTGGGTAACCGGAATAGTTTGCAAAACTGATAAGCAAAATGAACAAGTGAATAAGCACGAATTAACTATAAAAGTAGAAAAATTTTCTCTTCTTACGAAATGTCAACAAACGCTCCCCGACACCGCTCACTTTAAATTTAAAAATACTGAGGAAAGATTTCGTAAAAGATACCTAGATTTATTAGTAAATACCAAAAATAGACAAATACTTATTAAAAGGCATGAAGTAATTAAAGCAATTAGAAAGTTTTTAGACCAAAAGGAATTTATTGAAATAGAAACTCCTATTTTGGTTTCAGCAGCCTCCGGAGCCCAAGCCAAACCTTTTATTACCCGTCATAATAAATTGCATAGGGATTTTTATTTGCGAATTGCCACCGAAATTCCGCTAAAAAAATTACTGGTTAGCGGATTTGAAAAAATTTATGAAATTGGTCGAATATTCCGCAATGAAGGTATAGATGCTCGGCATAACCCCGAATTTACCACTATTGAAGTCTATCAGGCTTATGAAAACTCCGATTACATGATGAATTTGAC